CTATCGGTGCTCCGATTCGGGCTCCAACGGCGTCGACAAGTGGTCTTTCGGTACTGGGTGCCAAGTTATTGTTCTCATCTTGAAGACCGGCTTCGTTGTCGATCGGCGTGGCCATTTGACTGGTAGTTAGTCGTTGCTAATCCGAAATTCAAGATATTTTCGGAAATAAGCGCAAAACACACCGGTGTGTTTTTGCAGATTCGTATCAAATAACCACTGTTATCCTTAGCCTTACGGTGGGTGGCAAACTGTTTACCCGAAAAATTTGATAGAGTTAAATTTGTATATGGTTGTAAGGATACATGATATAACTTGGTACAAATTGCAGAGTGAAATAGAAATATATATATTCTTTGACAGATGGAATGAAGTATAAGGCAGAGAAAAAGAAAATGTTGATGAACAAGGCAAAGTAAATGAGCCCAAAAGTGTTAATCTCTCTTAAGTTGTCTTTTTTATCGTCTATCTTTATGCTTACAAGAATTCTCCCCTTTATAGTAGAGGGATCCTACTTTATCTATATAAAAAATATATAATGGAAAACCCATGATGAATTGTCTTTTTCTCGATTCCTGTCAAGATTCTCTCCCCTAGTGCGGTTGCAACGACTCTTGTCTGTGAGCTCGATACCGGCTCGAGCTCGATATTGGATCGAGCCCTCGGCCTTGGTTCGAGCTCGACTTTGACTCGGAGTCTCGATATTCGGGGTGAGTGTTGGCCGGTCTATGCATCTTCGATAATCTCCGCTTTGCTTCGTAGTTCGATTTGGATATGAGCTCGATAATGATACCGAGCTTGTCGTTGATTGGTCTTAGAGCTCGAAGCTCGACGCCATTACTTCGGATCTCGACCCGTCGTCACGCAAATACCCTTTGATCGAAGTATTATCACCTCGACCAGTCCGTACGACTGACTTAATCGGTTTTGACCATACATACTTTACTTCATCTTTCTTAAGAACACATTTTCTCTTTTCTCTTTGGACATTCAAAATGAAACCTAACAAAACGAAGTAGTATAAGGTTTCTGAGCAATTGCTTCTTTCTGCGGCAGAAGTTAAAATTAAGACATCCTTATTACAGAAAAGAAAGTTAAAACTAAAACATACTGACTGATTCATTTTTTGTACATTTTGTTTTTATTTCTCATATACTAATCAAACAATCAATTACTCCTCAATCCCAAATTGATTAGGTTCAGTTATATGATTATTTCATTCTAGTACTGACTGAAACGACTTTAAAGATAAATGGGGTTTTTTAAGTCTCATCCTTATTCCTACATTGATATACAAGTCCTAACTAGATTATAAGGACTCTTGACAAAAATAACAAAAATAAACTAAAGAGTTAATCACCACTAGTTGGTATCACTTATATGCACCAGTAACCCCCAATTGTAACCATACAAGATCGATATACACGATCCACCACAATAAAATTACCAGTAGGTGTACATACATGAACAGAAATAACAAGAGAACAACGAGGTATGTCCAAATAAGGGGCAAAATATGATGACACATATGAATAGATAGACCCTGGATCAAACAATACAGAAGCATCTCTATGACAAACCGAAACCATACCTGTGATCACAGCATCTGAGGCCACTGCCTCGGGTCTACCCGAAAAAGCATAGTAACGAGCCTGACCACCGTCGATCTGACCACTGATCTAAAAATCCTAATAACATGATTCAATTGTTTCTAGGAATCTTAGGTAAAAATAATTTGTTTTTACCCTAATTGCATCAGTGCAATTTGCGGACGAGGGGGATTCAATTGAACTCCTTTCTTACCTTTAGCTCCACCATCTTATATGGACCCTTTTATTTTTATTATGTCTTATTCTTAGGTAAGTTCACATTAAATCCGCGAGGTTATATGTTACATTGTCAACTTGTAGCACATTCATCAGAATAGTGATTTGGAGGTCTACATATGTAGGGGGAAGTGCACAATTAGTTACTAATTAGATATGTCTTTATTATTTAATCACTGTTTAAAATATATTTACTCTTTAGTCAGTGCTTAATAAATTTTTACCCGTCCGGACGGAAAAACCTCTGTGCTAGACATGGGTGCTATGTAAATATTAAGGACATGGTGTCCTTAACTTCATGAATGCTGTGTAAATATTAAGGACAACGTGTCTTGTATTTGCACTTTCCGTTGTTAAACTTTAGGGCATCATGTCCTTAACTTCATATGTGCAGTGTAAATGTTAAGGACATGACGTCTTTAAATTCATGTGTGCAGTGTAAATAATGTCCTTAACTTGTATTTGCACCTTTTGTTGTTAAACTTTAGGACCTCATGTCCTTAACTTAATATGTACCGTGTAAATGTTAAGGACATAATGTCCTTAACTTTATGAGTGTTGTGTAAATATTAAGGACTGATGTCCTTAACTTCATGAATGCTGTGTAAATATTAAGGACAAAGTGTCCTGTATTTGCACCTTCCGTTGTTAAACTTTAGGCCATCATGTCCTTAACTTCATATGTGCAGTGTAAATGTTAAGGACATGTCGTCTTTAACTTCATGTGTCCAGTGTAAATGTTAAGGACACCATGTCCTTAATATTTACACAACACTCATGAAGAAAGGGTAAAAACATCTTTTCGTATTAATTTTAATAGAGTAGTGACTATTTTTGCTCAGCATTAAAAATACTGGATAAAAACTAAATACTCCCTCCGTTTCAAATTAGATGATGTACTTTCCTTTTTAGTCTGTTCCAAAATAAATGACATATTTCTAAATTTGGTAATAATTTAACTTTAAACTTTTTATTTTACCCATTTTACCCTTAATGAGAAGCTTTTATAACCACACAAATGCCATGGCCCCACAAAACTTTTATCCCTTAAGTTTTTAAGACCACAAATTTTAAAAATACTCTTCTTTTTCTTAAATTTTGTGCCGAATCAAACTATTTCGTCTAAATTGAAACGGAGACGGAGGGAGTACCATATTAAAAAATAGGTATCCCAAGCCATTTTTACACATCTGTATGGCAAAACCATCTTATCGTCTACGTTCTATATGTAACTTCAATATAGAAGAATAAAGTTCAATTTTTCGTACGTTAGATAGACATCGATGAAATTCATCAACGGATTACGTGAGACGGGCAAGGCAAAAAGGCGGTGACGAAAGATGTAGCGCCGGTGGCAGATGTCGACAAAAAACAAAAAGGAAAAAGATAGAACCAATTAACCAAAATTATACTCCTCCATTTATACCTTAACACCTTTTAAGAGGAAAAGCTAACCCCATTAACTTAAAGGGTAAATTAGGAATAACAGAAAAAGTTCTTTTTCCTCCTACGAAGAGAGTTAAAAACCAAATTGCCAACAATCCAAACTACATACATTACATCTCCATCACTTCTGAGCAAATCCTCTTCAAATTTACCCCTCAAATTAAAGGTAAGTTATCCATCCTTTCTCATATTTTCTCCTGCTATGTAATCCGTTTAGCCTGAGGCATATATGATTACTTATTGATAAAAGTTTGTTTTTTTACCCAAAAAATAAAATAAAAAATATTTACATTGGCTTCGCTGTGGGCAGATTTGGGCTTTTGGGGCGGTTATTAATGTGCAGAAGAGTAGTTTGTTTTATAAGAAAACTTGGATCTGTTTGAGTTTGCTTCATTACTTGTGGATCTTTTAGGTATTACACCGAAGAATAGTTTGTTATATAGAACAGATTGTAGGCAGGTACAAATGATATCTTTTAGGGATTTATTTTGGTAAAAAACAGAGAGAATACTAACACTAAGTAAGATGTACCATATCTGGGATTTTGATCTGTTTTAGAATTGGTTAAGCAAAACAAACCAAAGATGTGATATGGGTTGATTGTAACTGTGTTCAGATCTGTAATATGGGCATTTAACCACATTATTAAAGGATGAACTGTGTTAGGAAAGGTTGATCAATCAATCAGTCAATTAATTAGGCCTAATTCTCAAAATAGTTGGGGTCGATCATATATGAATTCTTTTTTCAAGAAAGGGTAAGTATAGGGTCGATTACATATATTCTGTGCCTAGTGGTCAATGAAGTGGGAGAGTAGAACCTTGAGTGAAAACACAAGAGGGGGTGCACTGTGAACTAATTAAATTCTAGTTGACTAAGTTTGATCACTTTCACCTGCACAGAAGGGCAGCCCCGTGCACTAAGCTCCCACTATGCGCGGGGTCCAGGGAAGGGCCAGACCACAAGGGTCTATCGTACGCAGCCCAAGGCTGCATTTCTACAAGAGGCTGTTTCCACGGCTCGAACCCGTGACCTCCTGGTCACATGGCGGCAACTTTACCAGTTACGCCAAGGCTCCCCTTCACCTGCACAGAAAATATTTCTTAAAACAAATGTTAGATGAATCGGGAGATATAATAAGAAAAGTAAAATGGCGAAGGACACGGTCGATTTTTACACTGGTTCACGTACCGATGTGGTACCTACATTCAGTCATCTTGGAGTTGGACCACAAGGCTATCTTATTAATTTTCAGATTTGAGTCGATTACACCTTCTGTGGTTTTACTCGTTCACCACTAGCGATTCAGTTCAACCCTTTGGTTTTACAAGCTCACCAAAGAAACTCTAAATCCTGACACGAGTTATCTCTTTTCACTAACACTTTTTGATACACTGATACTACAATATTACAGTGCTTAGTAGAAAATGAAAGAAAATAATTCTTGCTCGAGGTGTAAGTTGCGTGTTTGATTTTGAGAAGTTCTTCTGAATTTATAGGCAAGGCAAAGCTAGCCGTTGTGGCCTTTCCTCAATGTCTTCAATAGTTTGAATGTGCCGGCTCCTTCCATTAATGAGGGAATTGACTCGACTAGTTCCAATAGAGAATGTTGGAACTGCTTTTAATGACCCAAGGGAGTTTAATACAGTCAGTCTTGATACTTGGAGCGACTGTAATGATCTCAACTGACTTTGGTAATTCTTTGCTTCAATGAATCAACCAGGCTTCGATTAGTTATTCTGAGTTCGCTTTGAGTTTTGACTAGTTTTTGTATGCACAGCTTCCTCTTCTGATGATCTTCATGCGTTTCTCGAGGCTTGTGGGCTGCCTAATCAATGTTGTAATTAGGCTTGTTGAGTTCTTTGTCCTCGTTTTCGACTAATTTGTATTTGGGCTCATTTTCATCCTTTCTTCATGGACTTGGGGCTGTGACTTATGCTTCAAATGAATTCTGCAAAGACTGTTTTTGTTCAGTAGCAACACTAATTAACTTTTCATCATTAAAATACATTACAATGCTAACAATGAGGTCTGTTCAAATCTCAGCGGAGGCAAGAAAACACTAGGTGATTTCTTTCCATTTGCCTAAGTCTTGTTGGCTGAGTTATCCGGTACGTTCGTTGGGGTATCAAACCCGAACGAACAAAATGTTGAATTGAATCGTACCGGAGGTTATTCAGAGGAATAGTTGAGGTGCGCACAAATTGACCCGAACACCACTGTCATGGAAAAAAAAAGAAAAAAGAATTTCTCTGTATCTGTTTCACTCCTTTTAGGGCCACTTTGTTTCCGATAATACCAATTTCTCTGCTTGCGCAATTTGATATATGAAAAGTTATTAGTAACTGCTTCCATTGATCTTCTATTGTTTAATAGCTGTGTATTTACGCAATTGCTTTATTTATATACATTTTATTAACCTTCTAAGTTGTGTTGTTGGGTAATTCTGAACACAATTTAGCTGATTTAGAAAGATTTTACAAATTAGTGAGATATGAGAACAGATTCTTGTGAAAGGAGATACTGATATAAGATTACAACATAATTCAGGCCATGGGTTTGTGGACATTGCTCGAGGGCTGCTTACTTCTTGCAAATGCACTTGCGATATTGAACGAAGATCGTTTCCTTGCTCCAAGAGGATGGAGCTTCCAGGAATATTCAGGGGTCAGAAGAAATTCATTCAAGGGCCAGCTACTTGGTCTTATTTATGCAACTCAATATCTGAGAGTTCTTCTCATACTCTTCAACACACTTTGTATTGTTGTAAAGTTTGTATCTGGATGATGATTCTAGCGTGAGGTATGCTTGTTTAACTTTGTTGCTACATTTTGAGATTGATGTGTGTATTTGGACCATTATATCTGAGAGTCCATTCAAGGGCCGTCTACTTGGTCTTACTTATGCAACTCAATATCTGAGCGTTCTCCTCATACTCCTCAACACACCTCTCTATTTTTGTAAAGTTTGTATCCAGATTATGATTTATGGGTGAGGTATGCCTGTTTAACTTGGTTGCTGCATTTCAAGATTGAGTTGGACAATTATTTCTAGTTTAACCAAAGGAACGGTGGACAAGCATTCTGGGGAGAAATTAGAAATTGCTTTTCATCACAAAAGCTAATATGTACTTGGTGTGATATTAAAGTTTTGAAATAACCTTGGGATCCCATCCTGAACTAGTTGATCTCTTTTCTGCATCATATCTCTGACAATGTCTAGGATTTATAGTGGGTAATATCAGGAGGCTACATTGTAGCATTTTTCTACTTTCTCTCATTTCCTTTTTGTTTTTTGGGTGGGGGTGGGGGATTTAGCACAAAGTAATCTTTTGCTGACCAGTTTTCTGAACTACAGTTTCTTAAAGTAAGCTAATATGCTTTATGTCATGGTTGCACTCATAAGGTGATCGAGTAATAATGTTGCTACAGTCAAATAGGAATGATGTTTGATGCATTTTCTATTTTTTAATAGCAGCATAAAATTGATCTCTTGATTTATAGTAGACCATTCTATTTGTTGAAATAATTTTTTTTTGTATATACAGACACTGAAGTTCATAGATGGAAGGGTTCAGAAAGCTTCCTTGAGGAAAAACACCAACTCTAGTCGCATCTTGGTAGATACCCTGATACAAACTAATCTTCTTCGATTAGTTTCTCGGTCTTTATGGACACGACTGTTGTAAAATAGGTCATCAGTGCCTACCTCTGCATGTTCTTATTCAAGAATCATGTTCTTGGAGTCTAAGCTCTCTTTTTTGCACTGCTGCATATTTTGATTTCACATAAGATAATCTTCTTAGAGTTTGCTAATTGATGTTATTGTTCTATTAATGTTACCATTTCCAAAAAAAAAAAAAGTTATTGCTCTATTTCCAGAAAACATACCTTTTTCCAAATATGAGTATGGGTGGAGAAAACCAATTCCTGTGATAAAAGGGAGTCTTGTAGTTAGGATTGTGATATGATGAATAAAGACCTAGTCTTTCAACTTTAGGCTCTCATTGTTCTGAAAAACGTGAATCTTGTTATGTTGTTTCATATGTCAACTGATATCTTCCGTCAATACCAGCTTCTAAGCTGATTAGAGCTGTGCTAGTGTAGNGGATAGCTCAATGGCGAAAATGCTACAATTCAAAATGTAGTGTTACAAGTTCAAATCGTAATGGCCTTTTGGCTACTCTTGCTTAGTTCACCCTTCTTACTCCCCCTATTAACCATGCGAAAGGGTGGCAAATGGGCGGATCGGGTTGAATATGGACGGGTAATGCAAAAATGGTGGATATGATATCTATGACTTTTTGAATATGATCACTTCTGAGAGAATTCCTAGTCTCCCAAACTTGAGGAGCCTCCATTTTGAGTCTTCACAAATGTAAAAGTTAAACCCATTGGTTATCTATTTTTAAGTGGATAATATGGATCTTATCCATATTTGGCCCATTTTAAAAATTTCATTATCCAACCCATTTTTTAGTGGATAATATGGATGGATAACTGTTTTTTTAATCTGTTTTCCTGCCACAACTAACCATGCGCAAAGGTAAAGAACTCATTTGCTGTAGATACTGATATAAGACTTATTACTAGTGCAGAAAATAGTTTTGAATACTGAATACTTCTAGGAGAGTTGCTGAGGTTTCAAACATGACAGGAATTAGACTTTACTCTATCTTGACTATTAATTTTGATCTTTCTAGCATAGCTGTAATAATATGGGGCATTTGCGTCGGGCACACAACCTTAAGGTCAGGTTTTAAAGTTTATTTCTAATAATAAGTTGCAAAAATGTTGGGTTTATTATATGCCTCGTGAAAACTCTTCTACGCGTAGAGTTCATCTTTCCTGGAAAATTTAAGATAGAGCTACTTCGGAGAAGCATCAGGATTTACTGCAATGTCATCTTGCATTTCCGCGCATGCTAAGCAGTTGGTTCTGGGTTCGTTGATCATTTGTAACTATCCTCTTGATTAGAGTTGTGATATACTACTGAAACAAGAGGTGGCACCACCCCCCACTTCTAGCAGCTTTCCTCATTCAACACTGAGTTGGGTCCAAAACTCAAGATAAAATGTACTTAGAGTTCCTAATTCATATTTCAACCTGTCTGTCTGTTTGTCTGTAAATTCATTAGCATCCCACTACTTGGACAAATATTTACCTAGGAAAAATCATAACAATCTTATTCTAATGGAGAAGCTGCATACAATTAACACCCTGAATATGAGAGACATTTCAATCCAAATAACATAGGATGAATTATAGATCTGCAAATGCATGATAAGTTTTTGAATCCATGGCAATAAGTCTTACAGCAGCTACTAGTGCAGCAACAGCAATGCAACTAAAGAAGGCAATATTGAACCAATGCCAGGTTTTCTGAAATGAGGAAAGCTGCAGCTTTCTCATTGCAACAATGTACATGTGATTTGGAAGAATAAATGTGAGCGGGAATGTATTGATAGCACCAGTGAAGCTCATGAAATCTCCAAGGAAAGGTAACAAAGCGGACAGGAAAATGGTAATTGCTAGATATCCACCTCTTACTACAGTTCTGAATGCCAGGTTTCGAAAAGCCACTGCACTTCCTTTGATTCCATATTTGGTATCCAAGTACTCGTATGTTGGACTTGCAACTACCTGCAGTAAGCAATAATAAATGCTAAGTTTATAGTATATGAAAAGATTGGACATTGTGTAGGGCCCACTAAAAGGGGAAATCCCAGTGTTGAGTGTAGAGAACTCTAGGTGTGTGGGTGTACAGCTGTAAATGAGCAGTAGTTAAGTTAAGAAAGGTCGGTGGTTAGTTGTATAAGTAGCAGTTAGTTAGTTATAAACACTGTACATATTTCATTTCTTACGGTTCATCTAATGGAATCAGTTGGGAGCTTCTCTTCTCTTCTCTCTAATTACTTCTGTGCATGTTCTCGTCTGACTCCATAGCTGAGCTCTTCAACATGGTATCAAAGCTGTGAGCTAGATCCCTCAGCTCAGCAAGCAATAGACGAGTGTTAAGCAGCAGTTGTTGAGTAAATTTCTCAGCTAAGAGCAAAAGTCCCAAAATTAGGGCTTTTCTGTATCTGGCTGGAACTCAACGAACATCTCTGCTCCTTTTGAAAAATTGCGAGTACAATCCTTTGCTGAAATTGCGTCGCAATGATGCCAATTAATGAAGAAGTACCGTTTGCTCAAACCTCAAGTACATTGGCTGCTCAATCACACAACACTCAGAATCTCGAGCTTGTTCATCACAATCATCCGCTATACATTCATCCTTCAGACACTCAAGGTTCTGTTCTCATCTCAATTCAACTTCAAGGTTCTAAAAATTACTTGATTTGGAGTAGATCTATCAAAATTGTTCTTCACGGTAAAAACAAATTAGGTTTTGTGCTAGGAACCTATAGAAAGGAGATGTATGATGTGAGTCTACATGAGTTGTGGGATAGGTGTAATGCAATTGTGTTAGCATGGATAATGAACTCAATTTTTCCAAGTCTAAATAGCACAATGATATATGCTTCTAATGCATATAAGGTGTGGGAAGACTTAAGAGAGAGGTTTGACAAAGTGAATGCATCTAGAGTTTGCTATTTGCATAAGGAAATTGCCACACTTATTCAGGGAGTGTCTTCAGTATCTATATATTTTTCGAAACTACGTGAACTGTGGGATGAATATGAAACTCTAGATCCTCCACCCTCTTGTGGATGCCTTGAGTCCAGGCAACATGCTAAACATTATCAAGTGCAAAAACTGTACCAATTTTTGTCTGGTTTAAATGAGTCTTATGAGAATGCTAAGAATCAAGTTCTAATGATTAGACCACTGCCAAACATAAACCAAGATTATGCTATGATTGTTAATGTTGAGAGCCAAAGGAAAACAGGTGGAGGGAATGCCAGTGGTGCTGGTACTGAGATTGGAGAACCTGCTTCACTCTCAAGCAACAGAGGAGCAAGTGGAGGAGGCTACAGACCTAGAAATAACTATGGGAAGGCCCCCCTTACTGTGAATACTGCAAGCTTAAGGGTCACATAAAGGATAATTGCTATAAGCTACATGGTTATCCAGTTGACTTCGAGTATTAAAAGAAAGGAGGAGGACCTAACAACTATGCCAACAATGTGATCAATACTAGTTCAGCACCTTCAACACCTGATATGCAACATAATATATCTCAGTCCAGTTCTCAGACTGTTGGGAATTCATCATCTACACAAGTATCATCACCTGCTCAATTCTTTACTCCAGAACAATACTCTCAAATTTTGCAAATGCTAAATCAAGGAAAGGAAGTTGAATCTGTAGCCAACACAGCTAAAGTAGGACCTACAGGTATTACCACATCCTTTATGTCTAATCTAGTTGATAATAACTGGATAGTTGACACAGGGGATACTAATCACATGGTACACAACTTGGGGTTGCTAAGTAAATTCAAGGAGTTGACAGGTTTGAAAATAAACAGAGTGCACCTACCTACTGGAGAATAAGTAATCATTAAGAAAACTGGTGATTCACACATTTTTCAAGATAGAACTCTTCATAATGTTCTATATATACCAGACTTCAAGTATAATCTGTTATCAGTCTTTAGGATCACAAAAGAGTTAAAATGTCTAGCAACATTCTTTCCCGATTTCTGCCTGTTTTAGGAACTCTTCAGTGGGAATGTGATAGGGATTGGTAAGGAGGATCAGGGCCTCTACATACTGAAAGCTAGTTCACAAGGAGGATTCAATTCTGATTCTGCTAGCAAACATTGTCTGCATACTTCATATGTAAATAGTTCATGTGTAGATAATGTCTTTAGTTTCAGTACTAAGAATAAAACTGAGGGTGGGCATACAGCATATCTTTGTGGCATAGGAGGCCTTGACATCCACCTCTAAAGGTCTTGAGAAACATTAGTACTCTCACAAACATACATGTGAAAGATCACAATTGTACTGTATGTCCTATTGCCAAGCAAACAAGATTGCCCTTTTCCTTAAGTAATAACAGTTCTGTTTCTGGATTTGATCTTGTTCATGCTGATGTTTGGGGTCCCTATAGAGTTCCAACACATGATGGTAGGAGATACTTCATGACTCTGGTAGAAGATTACTCTAGATATACTTGGATCTTTTTAATGAATAATAAGTCAAACTCTGTTGTTATTCTGAGAGATTTTCTTGTATTGATCAAGACTCATTTTAATTGTGCTGTTAAGTGTCTCAGAACAGACAATGGATCCGAGTTCTTTAATGAGCAGGTAAATAAGTTATTAAGGAACATGGAGTGATTCATCAAAGTTCTTACATCTACACACCTCAGCAGAATGGGGTGGTAGAAAGAAGACACAAATATATCTTAGATATGGCTAGAGCCTTGAGGTTCCAGGCTTTCATCTCCTTACAGTTTTGGGGAGAATGTGTAACAACTGAAGTATATCTTCTGAATAGCCTACCTACCACTCTTCTAAGGGACCAATCTCTATTTGAGAGACTGTTTCACAAAGCTCCTTCCTTGCAGCATCTAAAAGTATTTGGAAGCTTATGTTATGCCACTAATGTGAAGAAAACCAACAAGTTCTGTCCTAGAGCAATTCCTGCTGTGCATTTGGGGTATTCTAACACTCAAAAAGGCTATCATTTATATGACCTCAGTAGTAAAGAGTTTTTTGTTAGCAGAGATGCAGTCTTCAAGGAAGACATCTTTCCATTCAGAGACATGAAATCTAAGATCACACCTCTATTTCTTATTCTAGAACTTAAAGTGTCAGATCCTGTATCCTCTTCCATTACTGAGGAAACTCCTTCTTCTCCTGC